CCCTGCAGACCGACTATCTACAGTAACAGCTGCCTTGCAGCAGATCGAGAAGATGAAGGAGATTGCATGGGAGCAGCGAGTAAAAAGAGTGCCCGCCAGGTGTCGGCGGTGGTGCGACTACAGGCTACTGCGCGTGGCCTGCTAGCGCGTCGACCGGTGCGGGAGATGCACAATCTGCAGTTGATTTTACCCCGCACCCCTTCACAGCTACTCGAAGTTGCGTCGCCGCACAAAGGGCCTCGACCTCGTCAGCCGCATCGAGGATCTTGGGCATGTTGTATCTCCCGTGGGCGGCAAACTCAGAGTCCACGTCGATGGTTCGGGAGACGACGCACCCCTCACCATTCTCTATCGGAAGCCTTCCTCTAATCTCTGTGCGATGCGGACTACACCATGGGATCTAGGTGGTTGTACGTGTGCAGTTATTGTGTGCACATGGTGTCCACCTTCGATTGAAGAGGCCGCAAAAATAAAGAGTCCAAATCTATTTCAAATTGAGAATAATAAAATGAGCCTAGATGTAAAAGACTTGTTTTTAGGTGTTAGATTTGTGGTGAGTCGAGTCATCGCTATAAGCTGGTTAGGTTGCAACTCGAGGACGAGCTGCTTGTTCAGAAGGGGTGTAGTGTTAGAGGCGTATGTCATAGGCCTATCAGGGAGAGATGTCATGTGGGGCAAGAGATTCACCCGCAGAGCAACAAAGACAAGCGTAGCGAATCAAGAAAGTGGCTAGATTGACGCCAAATTGATGGCATTCCTAGGTGCACCATTAGCTGATGCTAATTTAGAAGCTTAGCGAGAGTGATTCGGAGAGAATTAAAGGGTGATTGGGCTACCTACCTAATGGCTATGTATATCGTGAGCTACCCTAGGAATAATCAAGCAAAATTAGAAGGAAAAGCATTCTCTCTTGATTGGTCGTGGGCAAGGCCAACGGCCGGCCCCCTCTCTCCCTCTCAACACGAGCTGCTGCCATAACATCCTAACATCTAGTATCAGAGATTCTAGGTCCCGGTGAGGGTGGCAAGCAGCCGAAGGTGCCACCGCCGTTGGATACCATCGCCAAGGCGCTGGCCGACCTCACCCAGCAGATGGTGTCTCTCTTCGCGTGCCTGGAGGCCCTGGAATCCTGGCCGCCGGTGATCACCACCTTTCACCGTCGTGCCGCCAAGGTTACCCTATGGCTTGTCGGGCTATGGGACAACACCCGTCTCCATGATAGATTCCGTTGCAGATCTATCCCAACTTCCATCGCCTGCGTCATGTCGACACCACTGCTTTAAGTGGCGACGTCGTGCCATCCCTGCAGACTGACGATCAGCAGCAGTCGACACTTTGCAGGAAACGAGAAGATGGAGGAGATTCCGTGGGAAGAGCGAGTAAGATGAGTGCCCTCCAGGTGTCTGTGGCGGTGTGGCTGCTGCGCGCAGCCTCTTAGCGCGTCGATGGGTGCAGGAGATGCACAATCTGCAGCTGATTATACCCTGCACCCCTTCGTAGCTCCTCCAAGTTGTGCTTCGCCATGTAGAGGACCTCGATCTCATCAGTCTCATCGGGGATCTTAACTCAGAGTCTGCGTCGATAGTTGGGGAGGAGCACCCCTCCTTTCAATTCTCTATTGGAAGACCTCCTGTCTTCTCTATGCGGTGCGGACTACGCCATGGGATCCAAATGGTTGTACGCGTGCAGTTATTGCATTCGGATCATGTCCACCTTCGATTGAAGAGGCCGCAAAAATAAAGAGTCCAAATCTATTTCAAATTGAGAATAATAAAATGAGCCTAGATGTAAAAGACTTGTTTTTAGGTGTTAGATTTGTGGTGAGTCGAGTCATCGCTATAAGCTGGTTAGGTTGCAACTCGAGGACGAGCTGCTTGTTCAGAAGGGGTGTAGTGTTAGAGGCGTATGTCATAGGCCTATCAGGGAGAGATGTCATGTGGGGCAAGAGATTCACCCGCAGAGCAACAAAGACAAGCGTAGCGAATCAAGAAAGTGGCTAGATTGACGCCAAATTGATGGCATTCCTAGGTGCACCATTAGCTGATGCTAATTTAGAAGCTTAGCGAGAGTGATTCGGAGAGAATTAAAGGGTGATTGGGCTACCTACCTAATGGCTATGTATATCGTGAGCTACCCTAGGAATAATCAAACAAAATTAGAAGGAAAAGCATTCTCTCTTGATTGGTCATGGGCAAGGCCAACGGCCGGCCCCCTCTCTCCCTCTCAACACGAGCTGCTGCCATAACATCCTAACATCTAGTATCAGAGATTCCAGGTCCCGGTGAGGGTGGCAAGCAGCCGAAGGTGCCACCGCCGTCGGATACCATCGCCAAGGCGCTGGCCGACCTCACCCAGCAGATGGTGTCTCTCTTTGCGTGCCTGGAGGCCCTGGAATCCTGGCCGCCGGTGATCACCACCTTTCACCGTCGTGCCGCCAAGGTTACCCTATGGCTTGTCGGGCTATGGGACAACACCCGTCTCCATGATAGATTCCGTTGCAGATCTATCCCAACTTCCATCGCCTGCGTCATGTCGACACCACTGCTTTAAGTGGCGACGTCGTGCCATCCCTGCAGACTGACGATCAGCAGCAGTCGACACTTTGCAGGAAACGAGAAGATGGAGGAGATTCCGTGGGAAGAGCGAGTAAGATGAGTGCCCTCCAGGTGTCTGTGGCGGTGTGGCTGCTGCGCGCAGCCTCTTAGCGCGTCGACGGGTGCGGGAGATGCACAATCTGCAGCTGATTATACCCTGCACCCCTTCGTAGCTCCTCCAAGTTGTGCTTCGCCATGTAGAGGACCTCGATCTCATCAGTCTCATCGGGGATCTTAACTCAGAGTCTGCGTCGATAGTTGGGGAGGAGCACCCCTCCTTTCAATTCTCTATTGGAAGACCTCCTGTCTTCTCTATGCGGTGCGGACTACGCCATGGGATCCAAATGGTTGTACGCGTGCAGTTATTGCATTCGGATCATGTCCACCTTCGATTGAAGAGGCCGCAAAAATAAAGAGTCCAAATCTATTTCAGGTTGAGAATAATAAAATGAGTCGATACGTAAAAGGCTTGAATTTAGGTGTTAGATTTGTGGTGAGTTGAGTCATCGTTATAAGCTGGTTAGGTTGGAGCTCAAGGGCGAGTTGCTTGTCGAGGAGGGGTGTAGTGTTAGAGATGTATGTCATGGGCCTATCAGGGAGAGATGTCATGTGGGGCAAGAGATCCACAGAGCAACGAAGACAAACGCAGCAAATCAGGAAACTGGCTAGATTGGCGCCAGATTGAGGGCAATCCTGGGTGCGCATTAGCTGATGCTAATTTAGAAGCCTAGCACGAGTGATTTGGAAAGAATTAAACGATGATTGGGCAACCTAATTCCTATATATATCGTGAGCTACCCTGGGAATAATCAAGCAAGAATTGGAAGGAAAAGCCTTCTCTCTGACCGACCCTCTCTCCCTCTCAACCCGAGCCACCGCCATAACATCCTAACATCCAGTATCGGAGATGCCATGTCCTGATGAGGGGGACAAGCAGCCAAAGGTTCCACCCCCGTCGAATCCCATCGCCAAGGCGCTGACCGACCTTACCCAACAGATGGCGTCTCTCTTCGCACGTCTGGAGGCTCTGGAATCCTAGCTGCCATTGATCACCACCTTCACCACCATGCCACTAGGGTTCCCCTACGGCTTGCCGGGCTATGGAACAACAGTCATCTCCATGCCAGATTCCGCTATAGATCTATCCCAACTTCCATCGCCTGCGCCATGTCGATGGCACTGCTTTTGCTGCTGTGGATCCATCATGCGGCATGGATCGTGCACCATCTTCAAGCAGCGGTGCTGTGTCATCCCTGTACACAGGCTATCTGCAGCAGCGTCCACCTTGCAGCGGATCGAGAAGATGAAGGAGATTGAGCGGGAGCAACAAGTAAGAAGAGTGCCCGCCAAGTGTCGGCTACAGGCTGCTGCGCGCGGCCTCCTAGCGCGTCAGCGGGTGCGGGAAATGCACAATCTGCAGCTAATTCTGTCGCGCACTCCTTCGTAGCTCCTCCAAGTTGTGCTTCGTTGCACGGAGGATCTCGTTCTCGTTCTCGTCAGCCACATCAGGGATCGTGGGCATTGTTTTGGGTTGGCGCACCCCTCCTCGCCATTCTCTATCGGAAGCCCTCCTCTCTTCTCTGTGCGGTGCGGACTACGCCACGGGATCCAGGTGGTTGTATGTGTGAAGTTATTGCGTTTGGATGCTGTCCATCTTCGATTGAAGAGGCCGCAAAAATAAAGAGTCCATATCTATATCAAGTTGAGAATAATAAAATGAGTCAAGTCATTGTTATAAGCTAGTTAGGTTGCAGCTCGAGGACGAGTTGCTTGTCCAGGAAGGGTGTAGTGTTAGAGGTGTATGTCATGGGTCTATCGGGGAGAGATGTCATGTGGGGCAAGAGATTCACCCACACGGCAAAAAAGGCAAGCACAGCAAATCAGTTAAGTGGCTAGATTGGAACCAAATTGAGGGGAATCCTGGGTGTGCCATTAGCTGGTGCTAAGTTAGAAGCTTAGCAAGAGTGATTCAGAGAGAATTAAAGGGTGATTGGGCTACCTAAAGGCTATGTATACCGTGAGCTACCCTGGAAATAATCAAGCAAGAATTGAAAGGAAAAGCCTTCTCTTGCTCGGCCGTGGGCAAGGTCCCCGGCCGCCCCTCTCTCCCTCTAAACCCGAACCGCTGCCATAACAACCCATCTCAGCGTTGAACAACATAAATAAATAAGCTAAAAACCTGATCACTGCTCAGGCTAGTGAACCTGAATCCCTCTACTAAACTGACTAGGAGAAATTACTCTGAAAAATTATCTCTTGACTGAAGCACAACAGTTTTTCCAACAATGGAGAACAGAGGGGAAAAGCTAACCACAAAATGACAAAGTATAGATTGGCGCAACATTAGAGCTCTACTATCAGCGAAGAGGCACCCAGCTGCTGCTTGATGCTCCGGTTCATCTTAGATCATGTCTGAAGTTCCTAGATAGAACCAAAAAAGATCATCAGGAATTCTGTTCAATCACCTTCGGCAACTGCAGTGTATAAAACTTATATGGCTATACCTGTACAGTTGGACCGGTATACATGCCAGTTTGCATGTGGACATTCACTCCAGTGTTTATGGCCTCCAGCCATGCATAATTATCTGGGTTACCAGCTAACCTTTTGCGTCCAGCTGCTGCTGTTGGAGCATCAAATGACCATGAGAAAACAAAAATATGCTGCAAACAAAACACTACTGCCGCCTACCACTAAAAACAGCTACAAGATTTCCAAAAACTAATACAGCATCTCCATGAAGATGGTTTTCCTGAATTGTGAAAAAAAAGACAAAACAAAAGGACATCTATTTAAAGTACCTAAAACACCAGTGGCAATACTAATAGCAAGGCAATAGGATAAATCCTAACCTGCACCGACCTAAGACACAGATCAAATTACACAACTCACAGTGGCAGGTATGGTATTCCTGGCATGAGGAAGACCTCTCACCATTCATGATCGGTAATCATCCAATGCATAAGTGGTCCTGCAAATCTATCTACCTCCTAGGCTGTCTTATGCAATGAGGGCCATTTCTGAAAATGGTAGGTTTCTCTGTTACTGTATTTTCTCTACTGAACGTGAGTTGTTTTACCATGTTTCATTGAACTGTAGCCTACAGAACCTTAGAAATGCTCCAGAGTCACGGTAGGCTGCTGGTTTTTACTGCCTCCATTCTCTGATTTCAAGTGCATTATACTAGGCTTCTACACACCCAGCCATACCTATCATGGGCAATTAGGCTTGCGTAAGGCCAACTCAATCAACCAGAAATCCTATTTAGTTAAAAAAAAGGCGTACCCAGTGCAGAGAGCTCCCGCTCCGTGCGGGGTCTGGGGAAGGGTGTCAGTGGCAAGCCTTACCCTCACCTGTGCAATGCGAGGAGACCGCGACTCGAACCCGGGACCTTCCGGTCACAGGCGGTAAGACTCTATGAATCATGGTTCCCACCTCATAAAGCAGATCCTCTGGATATTTGTTTTTCTAAAAATTACAAATGTCTATGATGATTGTTATGTTGCTTCCACCAAATAAACAGACTGAATGTCTTATGGTCCAGCATTATGCCAGGTGCGCACAGAAACTGCAGCACCCATCATCAACCAAACCCTAGCACAAGGCGGTAATATTGCTTTTCCCATTAAGTTAGCTGAACAAGAGATAGAAACATCAGAGAATAGTCCCTTGAACTGATTTGTATTCTACCTATTAATTCAAGATTTTTAGGGAGCCTCTCCCATTATACACACACCAATCATAGGCACACTACCATCTCAATATGCAGTATGATGTGAGACCCTGGCCCTCAGTCTTCTGTCCACAACTCATACACCCTACACTATAATCCAGCCAAACCGATAGCAATGATCTTTTCATAACAACATACGATATGATGAGAGAGAGGGGTTTCACTTACAGAGGCTTGAAAATGGATAGTCATGAAAATAAGTGCAAAGCCGACCAGCGTCAGCATTATATGGTGGAGCTAGGACATCAAGAATAGCACAAGAAGATACTGAAGTGAAGCAGTGCAGGTTCCCACCACTTTGAGGATACAAAATGGAGGTTGGACATGGGGCAGTACGAACATCATCCGTATGTAATTTGGCCAACCTTGCTGTATACCAGGATCAAAACAATCTTTCAGTAACCAATCATATTGTTTATAATCTATACAAGATTAGGCTCTTAGAGAATCACGAAAGCTGAAGGCAAGGAAATAACAATCTAAAATGATTTCTAAGTAACATTAGTAAATGATACAGATGGCTGAAATGCATAAATGTTTTCTTTTTTTTTCTTCGAACGTGCAGGAGAACTATCTGTCAGTGTATTAATAGGTAAAAACTGTCCAATTCCGTGCCGAATCCACAGCTGGGGTTAGTTTCTTATCTTCTGAATAAACTTAGAGTTCTGTACTGGAATATAAATAACTCGTAATGAATAGACAGAAAACTTGTGAAAGTGAAACAAAGCTGGATAACAACCTGGCTGGCTACTTGCTAGGACAGTAGGTTCTATCCAATCATATGATTTCACATGCATGGAACCATAAAGGATTTTGCTCAGTACAGTCATTCCTGGATGGTCATGAAGAGGAATGACAGATGAAGTTGGCAAGCAGAATATTGCAATCTGCAAAATACATGGGAAATAAAGAAGATATGTTAGATAACCACTAAGGTTATAAGCAGCATTTGCATTGTAATTCTGGTAAAAGAGAAACTGAAGTCAATCAAAACTAAAACATACATGCAAAGCTCGCTAGTTTGTGAAAGCTGAACTAGGGAACCACAGTAGTGAGCAATCATAACAACTATGCAGTTTAATGGTGTACCAAACCAGTAACATAAATACATAATATATAGCTCTTCAAGTACAGAGGAACACCTAACGGAAATGTACTTTAACTAGAAGAAAGGAAAGGGGAACAAAACTACTTCAAATAGAATGGTCAACCAGGAGGCAGCAGTTCACCTGACTAAGCCTCCTGTGTGGTTGTTAGCCAATAGGAATCAAGTGGGGGTTATATAACGAAGAAGATAATTTGAAGTCCATAATTTTGCAATAGTCGTTGCAGTTAGCACAATTCTGGCAACCTAATAGTTGAACCAAGATTAAGAAGTGAACTCACAGAGAACGCATCACAGCTGTAGATATGAAGGTACTTGATGGGCCGCGCCCACCGAGGCAGCCTTCCTGAACCCCTGAGCAAGTTGGAATCAAAAAATCCATGACCCCTGTCGTCCTCAAGATTATTATCTCTGAGCCCAACATCCGTAGGAGTGATTGTATCTGAACATCCGACAGAATTTCATCATAAGATAGATAAATAAGGCGACAATCCTAATTACTAACTCTTAGTCATTGTTCGAAAAAACGCACACTCTTACCACAGGAGAGTATGAAAAGATATCAAAATTTGCGCAAGCCTGGGCCTGGCCATGGGTGAACTATAACACGCCAATAGTAGGGGAACAGGTCGAAATTCAGTACTGTACTAGCGGAGAGAAGGATGTTACCCATGAGAGAGGTGATGCTGCGGATGACATCAGCGGGCGGGGGAGACGACGAGGCGGCGCCGGCGGCGGAAGGGGAGGGGAAGGAGCGCTTGCAGAGCTCGTAGAGGGCCTGCACACGGGACGACTGCGGCTGCGGTGGCACGCCCCACGCCATTTGACGATTTGAAGGGGGTCCCCTTTCCCTACGCGGATTAGCGTCTTGGATGTATGGGGACAAGCCGGCGGGGGAGGGAGGGGCCGGGTGAACAGGGGATGGGGAAGGGGGGAAGAGATAAATACTGTTGGGTACAGTACCATTTTTGGTTCAAACACTAGTAGTGTATTCAGCGGCAAGATTTGAATTATTTTATTCTATCTATATCTATATCTTTATTCTACCTATATCTATTATATCTCTATCAAATATATGTATATATCTCTATTCTATTTATATCTGTATCTCTATATCTATATCTCTATTCTATTTATATTTGTATCTCTATCGATAGATATAAATATAGAGATATATATGATTTATATATATATATATTCTATTTATATTTATATCTCTATCTATAGATATAAATTCAGTACTATTCTATTTATATTTGCTAAGGACCTATATATATTCTACCTATCCTATTATATCTCTATTTTATCTATATCTATATCTTTATCTAATATATGTGTTCATATATGTATGTCTATCTCTACCTGTATTTTTCTATTGCTATCTATCTATCTCTATCCTTAATATTAAATAGCCTGATTTTCTTCTTCCATCGCTTGTAGAGGCCTCCTTCCCACACGTGATAGAGTGAATTAGGAGAAGCTACTTATTTCAGCTCTCAAATTCCTAGATCGTTTCAAAGAATTATTTCACAGAAACATCATAGAATCACTTCTCAACCAAAAAAAATTGTTTAGCTTCCTACTGATTCAACCTAAAAGCGGCTTTGGAGCTCTCCAAACAAGCTCTCAATGTATGATATGTGAGCTATTTGGTTGATGAATAGTACCATTGTGAGGAGAAACCGGTAAAATTTGGTGAAAACCGAACCCGAACGACACCAATGTATCATGTACGGATTTATGGGAAAAGGGGTGGAGAAGGAGTTGGACAAGGTGGTGGCTTTGGTGGTGTGAAAGTTCTAAACCCCTTGGCACCTTTACATCTAAGTTCACTTACAAAACAATCTAAGAAGTCCTGGGACTATCACACCTAATCAAGTCCTTACCAAAAATATCTCACTAAGATATCTATACCTAATACTAAACAGGCAAAATTTCTGACATATTTTTTTCGTCCAGCCTATCCAAATCGGCCCGGTCTCGCTCTCACTCGTGTCCTGTACTCTTGTATGCCGATTTCTTTTCTATCTATTTTAACCGAACGAAGATTAGAAGTAGAGAAGAGAATAGAAAGAAATACGGGGTTCCAGATGTAAAGATACCCAGAGAGAGAAAAAAAAGATGGAACTACATTAATGGTTTTTAAAATATATCAGCGTTTCTGATGCAAAATGTCCAGAACCAAGTGAGCCTCTTCTGGTGGGCTTATTTTTCGACTTCGGTTGAATCCTTCAAGTTGGACCGGCTTCATTATGGGCTGGACCAAGCTGGTGCAAGCCTTTTTTTCCTTTTCTTTCATTTTCTCTTTTTCTATAAAAATGTAGATCTTGTAAAATTCACAAAAAAACATAGAAAAATCAAAAAAACACCAAACCAGTTTGGTTAGTTTCATAAAAATATGATCTATCCATAGATGTTATGAATCTTGTTAGGTTGTGCTTTTGTTTATAGGTGCATTAAATCATCCTTTCATATGTTGCATGCATATAGGTTCAGCGATGACCGAGAACGTGCCAGAAGCAAACACGGAATACGCAGAGGTGAGAGAAGGCGTACGAGGAAGATGTCCTCGTTGTCTATGTTCCCGAATCCTTATCCATAGATGTTATGAATCATGTTAGGTTGTGCTTTGTCTATATGTGCGCTAAATCATCCTTGCATATGTTGCATGCATATAGGTTTAGCGATGACCGAGAACATGCCAGAAGCAAACCCGAAATACGCGGTGGTGGCCGAGGACTATGTCCTCGTTATCGATGTTCCTGAAGCCTTCACTAACTTTTCCGTTGTCCGGTTCCTGCCCTAGACAAGCCCGGTGCATAACTCCAACTTTTCGGCACTTATTATGTTTGTTTGCACATTAAGTTTTGAGGAGAAAGATTTACACCATCTGATGTAGTTTTGACTAGAAACAAAACTTTTTTTATTAAAATATGGATTAGTTAATGGTACAACTAATTATTCCATCAACCGAAATCTTGGGCAGATTATTGTCTAATGAAATCTAAACAAATGTATTTATGTAATTCTTGACGAGGGCTTCCGTGTGAAAAATCAAGAGAGGTCTCTCGTCGTAATCACGGCGGACAAACCAATCCTTGACACATCAACAAAAAAGTTATGGAGATTGATATGATGCGTTAAAAAGCTACAATGGTCGATATTTAGTCAGAGAAACACATGGATAGTACAAAAAACTAAAGTTATGATATATTTATCTCTAAATAATTATGCACTTTGCAACGGAAGGAAAAATATGCCAAGGTGTATTTTAATTCGATACAGGTTTAATAGGACATTGTTATTTATTATCAGCATTAACTTAGCATTAACTTATATTATGGATGTGACGGTCTTTATAAAATAAATTATAAAAGCATAAAACATAAGATATGTACCATTCACATTATCGTTTTGCATGAATGTTTAATAGTTTTTTATTCCCGTTGCAACGTAAGGGCATCTAGCAGGTCCTTAGTGCAAGAAATAAACATATGCTAAACACCTTCAAGCAACCCTAGTTGTCGCTAAAACACAAAACAAGGCTAAGCAAGAGTTGGTGCAAGGAACAAAGAGCGGCAAAGAGGCAACTAGATTTTTTCCACGGTATCAAATTGTTGCCACAATTCCCCTAGTCCACGTGACCACGTTAGAGAACCAAAGAATCACCAAGACTCGGTTATGCTCTACGTCACTCTTGAATACCTCTTCTCCACTTCGGAATGACATGTTTCAAACCATGTACATCAATTGGAGCATCATTAGCAAGAACTCCACTGAGAAAGGTCAACAAGAGTACCAAATCTTTAGCTCTAACTCAAAAAATTCAATCAACCCGGTAACATGAAGGCTACACATAATAACACTCAAGGCCAACACAATAACACTCAAATCTCACTTCTTATCTTGGATGGCTCTCAAATAGCTTAACAGTGCCAGCAACAATGCGGTGGAAGAAAAACTCCAACTAAGCTAGAGGTTGCACTTATATAGAGGGTCAAGGGGCCACCGGTCGTTGGAAAAAAAAACTTGATAGATGTAGGCATAACTGGATGATCCACCGCATACTATTGCCAAAGCCATATCTTAAGGTGGTGCTCATTTGCCTGATTCCAACAATGGCTAGCTAAGAATATACTAGAATAATTCCCGATGTATGGTCCAACAATGTGCCACAAAGTCACACTAGATCATATGATGCAGCACACATACTTGGTCAAGTTTGTCACAATGACAAGCTAGGCCCGTGAAAGCTCTAGTTTGGTTTTGGTGAATTGATGAAACCCTAAGTGTTAACCTAGTTTATCAAAGTGATTATGAGATAGGTAGCACTACTCCAAGTGGTGAAGCAAATGAAGATCATAGCATGATGATGATGATGGCATGGTGACGATCAAGTGCTTCGACTTGGAAAGAAGCAAGAGAAAAACAAAAAGCTTAAGGCAAAGGTATATTTTATAGGAGCTATTTTGTTTTGGTGATCAAAACACTTAGAGAGTGTGGTCACATTTAGGTGATAGCCATACTATTAAGAGGGGTGAAACTCGTATCGGAATGCGGTTATCAAAGTGCCACTAGATGCTCTAACTCATTGCATATGCATTTAGGATCTAGTAGAGTGCTAACACCCTTGTAAATGTTTGTGAAAATATACTAACACATGTGCACGAGGTGATACACTTGGTGGTTGGCACATTTGAGCAAGGGTGAAGAAGATAGACGTAAAGAGGAGTTGGTCTCGCTGGTCACAAAGTGATCGGATGCTGGTCTCTGAGGAACCAGCACGTTCGGTCAATTATAATAGCGAAGACGCTGACGTCGGTCAAACGACCAGACGCTGGGTCGCTCAGCGACCGGACGCTGGAAAGTTGTGTCCGGTCGTGTTGACCAACAGCGCAGTATGAAGTCAACAAGTGATCGGACGCTGGCTGTGTCCGGTCAAGCGTTATCGGACGCGTCCGGTCGTGAAATATCGTTTCTGGAACCATACTGGAAACGACCGAACACTGGAGGCTGAGCGTTCGGTCAGTTTGTGCGCAGTGTCCGGTCAACAGACGACCGTTGAAATCTGACGAACAACATTTGAAGCTGGGGACACATGGCGAGTATCACGTGACCGGACGCTGAGGGCCAGCGTCCGGTCGATCGGACAGGAGCGTCCGGTCACCCCGCGTTTTACCTAGTGAAGGGGTACAACGGCTCTATTTCGTGGGGGCTTCTATTTAAGCCCCATGGCTAATTCAAGCTCGCATACTTGACTATTTGCATTGACATAGCAACCTTGTGAGCTTAGCCAAAGTCCTCCCACTCATCTCCATCATTGATTCATCATCTTTGTGAGATTGGGAGAGATTCCAAGTGTATTGCTTGAGTGTTTGCATCTAGAGGCACTTGGTGTTCGTGTTTCGCTACGGGATTCGCTTGTTACTCTTGGTGGTTGCCGCCACCTAGACGGCTTGAAGCAGTGAGGATTGTCGAGCGGAGGGTGGTGATTGTCTCTCGGCTCCGATCGTGGTGATTATGATGGGTTCTTGACCTTTTCCCGGTGAAGCGCCAAAAGGTACTCTAGTGGATTGCTCGTGGCTTGTGTGATCCTCATCTTTGTTGGTTGTGCGGCATCCTATTGAGGGTTTGGCGTGTGATGACAATTAGCGTGTGAACCTCCAAGTGAGTGAATCGCCACAACGAGGAGTAGCTTGTCGGCAAGCAAGTGAACCTCGGTAAAAAATCATTGTGTTCATCCTTTGATTCCGAGGTGATTGGTCTTCATTGTTATTCACTCTTGTGGTTGTTTGGTTCATTCATCTACACGGCGGTAAAACTTTCTTGATCACTCACTTTACATTACCGTAAACTAGTTGTCAAGCTCTTTAGTGTAGCTAGTTGTGAGAGCTTGGTTGGTTGGTTGGTGTGGCTCTTTAGTTAGCCTTTGAGAGCACACTAACTTAGGGTAGTGTCATAGCTATTGTGTGAATAGATACTATCTAAACTAGAATTGTGGTAGGTGGCTTGCATTTTGAGTAGGCTAGCGCAACACTAGCTTTGCCTCATAATTGTCTAACCATTTTATTAAGTGTTGTTGTAAAATTTTTATTAGGCTATTCACCCCCCTCTAGCCATTAGGACCTTTCAGCCCGCCATATGATCCATTCGGGAGTCATAGAGTTTCTACTGGATCATATGACACACACCAGTAACCCAGCTAACTTGTCACTAAGGCAAATGGGACTCACCGCATCGGATGATCTGCTAGGTGCCATAGAGGCACCCCGAATCATATTATGCATATTAGTGGGATGGACACTTGACCAAAGTCAAGGATCACTGGGCGATCTGTCATGAGCTATTGAGGCAAAGTCATTTTTGCCTTTGGCATAGTATCGTCGGACAATCCGCTGGGGACCAATCCTATCATAAATCGTATACTCTAGTGCTTTTCCAAGCTTGTTTTAATTTCGATCTCGATCAATTTAACTTCTTTGAGATCCTTGACTTAAAATCACTTCAATGGAACCACTTAGTGCCATAATCTTGACTGAGAGTTAGCCCTTTATGCATCCTAATGCTCGTGCTCAAACTCCCTTGAAGATGAATTTTTAAATCCCCCTCAATGGTATGACCAAAGGAAAAACAATGCTCTAATACACACTACAACGAGCATCTCTGAGCACCAAATTTACATTCGCTCTATTGTGTCCTTCACTTATGAACATTCATCTTGTGACTAACTTCAGTGTGAATACTGCTATAAAATACATGTTAGTCACATAACTTTTGCTCATCAATCATTGAAATTCTCCTCGGTCTTCAGACTTCACATTGAAACATTTGGAGTTAGGGAGTGTCGGTGTTTTTGGACCACTGACAAGTAAATTTGTATTTGCACATTTGGCTCGAATGGTGTGCTTGGAGGACACAAGGGTTTATACTGGTTCGGGTGGAATGTCCCTACGTCCAGTTTGCTGCTGCTCGTGTTACCGGCACTTGATTTGTAGTAGGGGTTATAAACAGGCAAGAGAGGGAGAGGATCCCAAGTCTTTGGTGGAAGGAGTGAACGGGTGCTGAGAGCTCGCTTGTCGCTCAGCCATGTGCTCATGTCGTGCGCTTGTGTTTTTTCTCGTGGTCCAAATCTCCCTGGTAGGGACGCCCTACTTCCCCTTTTATAGACGAAAGAAAAACGCGGGTTACAGAGGAGGAAAAGGAGAAGAACAACAGAGAGAAGAAGGCTTCTAGGATCGTCGGGTCCTTCTTTTCCTTCATGCGGGTCCCACCGATCCTATAGATGTCAACAGGGATGGCTCCATGTCGCGGCCCTATTCGTCACTGGCGCCATGCGCAGGCATCATCTGCCGATCATGGCATTCCACTCCGTCCCGACGGACGTCGTGGTGAACTGACGCGCCTGTTAGCATCCATATGAGGATTAGGCAGAACAGTACCGGCATGCCCAACACTGTTCTTGATGTGAATCGCCAGGTATGGCCCGTCATGTCCATGGGTTACATCGAGGCATGCTAGCCTCTTTCCTAGTGTTAGAGTTTTGACCCAAGCCCATACGCTTGGACCTGTAGTGGTTGGCTACGGTATGGGTCCCCGTCGGACGAGACGGAACCCACGTCCTTGGGGTCGGGCGAGACGGAGCCCGCGACCTTGGGGTCGGGACAAGACGGAGCCCGCGACCTTGGACAAGACGGAACCCGCGTCCTTAGGGTAAGGCGAGATGAAGTATGAACCCAAGGGGTAGGCGAGATGGAACCCACGACCGAGAGGTCGGGCGAGACGGAATCCGTGGCCTTGGGGTTGGGCGAGACGGAGCCCGCACCCAAGGGGTCGGGCGAGACGGAGCCCACGGCCTTGGGGTCAGACGAGACCTTTTAATACATCTCGAACCATCTAGGAGTAGTCAGCATGGACGCTAACTTCCTTGCTTTGGGTATTCCTAATAACGATACCCGACAGGGAGTGAATTTGCCAAATGAGGAGTTAAAGGACAAATTTTATTCATTCAAAATCATACATCGAGTTACAGTCGTAAATCCACTTCCGACCTTTGCATAAGAGCACATAACCTAAATAGGGAAAAAGAAGAGCATGACAAACAATTACATGTATTTATTAGGTGCAATAGTGTATCTGTATATCCTTTATAGTTATGTCTGACAAAATGGTTCATGGTCTCTTCCAAATACAATAACCAAGGATTCAACCTTTTAGAAAACTCCAACATAACCTTAGACCCTCTTTGGAATGTGGGATTGTCGATGTTTGACCACCGATAGCCTGCCACGGGGGTCCCCGGGGCAGTTTTGTTCGGGCTTCAGCGTATGCGGAACTCGACGGTGAACGCAAGAGGCAGTCAATTTATCTTGGTTCGGACCCTCGATCGCTGATCGAGTAATAGCCCTACGTCTAGTCGGCGTTAGCCCTTGCATTGGATTGATTGTCTGGAGTTGTGTTGTTACAGTCGTGAAAGTTGTGATCCTCCCGCTCTAGGAACCATGTCCTCCTTTATAAGTCAGGAGGTCAGAATCCTAGACGGTTTACAGTGAGAGTTCCTAGTAGGATTATAGAATAATACTACTACTAAGATTACATGGAAAGAATCCTAGTTATACTAGATCTTCTCTCTTCCTTGTGGGGTATCCCGTGGGTCCCGCATCGACAGGGATCCCTTTTCTTGTGTTTTTATAAGAAAAAAACAAACTAGTCCATGTAAATTTTCTATAAGTTTCCTATGATTTTCTTCATTTCAAGGGGCCTAACTAGTGGTGGACAAAAAACTCGTGGTTCGCTAGCTTGCTCGGCTTGATGCTAACTCGACTTGGCTCGGCTCATTTACTTTTCTTAATGAACCAAACTAGCAATTTAGCTAGTTAAGTTAATGAGTTAGCTCAAGCTAGCTTGCAAGCTAAATGAGCTGAGTACTTCACGGTACAACAATCTAAACTAGTAGGTACAACAATCTAAACTAGTAACCATTAGGCTTGAGTTTATATATGAAATCAAAGTCTAGAACTGATGTATACTATGCATTACACATATTTATTTATTTGCCTTCATATATGAATAGAATAAACTAGTATCTATTGATTTTATAGCATTGGTTAGAGCCATTAACGAGCCGGCTCACGAGCTTGGCTCATTTACTTAACGAGCTGAGGTGAGCTAGAGTTCTAACCCGTTTATTTAACTAGTCGAGCCAGGTCGTTATCTCAATGAGCTATAATGAGTCGAGCCATAATAAACCTAGATCGTTATCCAGCTCTAGGCCCAACATCTCCAAGTAACTCTTCACATGTTCTTTATCATAAAATATAGAAGATACATAAAAAAAAATTAGGCTAAGATAGACTCTCTAACCACACTTTGTCTTTTTCGCTCTTCAAAACCACATTTCTCGTTCTTCAATGGAGAGCTTCTATCACTCTCTAAATTCAATATATGATAGTTTTCTCATGTTTCTTTGTACAAGAAAAATTATAATAAGCAACCGTAGTGTATAGAACAACAACAAAAAATAGTTCAACGGAGAGATGAGAAATATACAATGAGTATATATGGAATGACACTTTAAATAGAGATATATAGAGATTAAAATTCCTAGAGACTTGTGTAGTTACTCTAAACTCACATGTGGTTGTGTTTATTTTATGTGTCGGTATTTTTTTTCAATACTTATCTGATTATTATATCTTAAACGCACTGGTTCATAGATATTATTTTTCTTATTTCAAATTATAAATTGTTTTGATTTTTTTAGATTCACTGATTTTACTATGTATTTAAACATAGTATCTAGATGCATAATAAAAATTATATATCTAAAAAAACTAGGACCCCTTCTGGAACACGAGAATTTTTCCTAAACCGTACTAAAAAATGAACCAATTCCTGTGCAATTTCTATACAATTTCTATAAAATTCCTGCGTTCCAAAGTGGGCATAAAATGACTTCTAATTTATAAGAGAGGGAGTAGTTGATTAGTTTCGGTAGTCCGTGGAACAAAATGTCAGCCGATGGTACCAAATCCTGGTGAGTGGGGCGCGACTGGCTCACCAGCCTACCTGCCGTGCCCGTGCGAGTGCGAGTGTGCGACCGAACGAACCAGCCAGCCACACACCCCCGAAAGCAACTGATGAGTCCGTTTGACCCGCGCCGCGCCTGCTGTGCTGGCCCTAGCCGTCCTCCTCTCCTTCTCCTCCCTGCTCCCCATGCCCCATTCCGCATTGCGCCGCACGCTCCTCTCCTCTCCTCCGAGTGGGCGCCGACTCCGTCCAAAAAGAGGAGCGTCCGCGGTCCGCCACCGCCAGCGAGAGGGGGCGAGAGAGAAAAAGACCAAACAAAAATATTGAGCAGCAGGCCCAGGCAGAGCAGCTCAGGCGCCGCTGCCTCTTCAAAATCCTCCCAGATTTCCCCTCGCATCCGCCCCGATCTCGCCTCCAATGGACTCGGTGCCGCCCGCGCGCGCGGCGCGGCCCACGAGCCCGTCGCGGCCGCCCAAGGCGATCCGCAGCACCAAGCCGCGGGGCCTCGACGAGGACACCGCGGCGCCGCCCGCGTTCCCCAAGGCCAAGTCCCCCACATCCTCCGGAGCCGGAGCCGAGGCGTCGCTCCTCCTCCACCACCACGCGGACGTCCCGATGGACGCCCGCGTCTGGGCGGGGCTCCCCGACGACCTCCTCGTGGAGGTGCTGGCCCGCGTGCCGCCCTTCCTCCTCTTCCGCCTCCGCCCCGTGTGCCGCCGCTGGGAGGCCATCCTCCACGACCCGGCCTTCCTGGCCGCGCACGCCGCGGTGCCCTCCCACGGGCCCTGCCTCCTCACCGTCTCCAGGGGCGGCGGCGGCGCCAGCCCCGCCCCGCCGCAGTGCACCGTGCTCGGCGTCCCCCTGCACGCCCGCTACAAGCTCCCGTTCGCCTTCCTCCCCGCCTGGGACCTCTGGCTCGTCGGATCCTCGGGAGGGCTCGTCTGCTTCTCCGGCTTCGACGGCGCTGCCTTCCGTACGGTCGTCTGCAACCCGCTCACGCAGGCGTGGCGGGTGCTCCCGGACATGCATTGCAACCAGCAGCGGCAGCTGGTGCTCACGGTCGACAAGAGCCGCCGCTCCTTCAAGGTAATCGCCGCCAGCGACGTGTATGGGGACAAGACGCTCCCCACTGAGGTCTACGACTCCAAGGAGAATAAATGGTCGGTGCACCAGATGATGCCCGCGGCGAACCTGTGCTCGTCGAAAATGGCGTTCTGTGACTCCAGGCTGTACCTGGAGACGCTCTCGCCGCTGGGGCTGATGATGTACAAAGTGGATGCGGGGCGTTGGGAGCATATACCTGCCAAGTTCCCACGGTCCCTGCTGGATGGTTATCTAGTCGCTGGAGCTCACACGAGGTTGTTCTTGGTTGGGCGGATTGGGCTATACAGCACGCTGCAGAGTATGAGGATCTGGGAGCTGGATCATGGTAGAACAGTTTGGGTGGAGATAAGCAGAATGCCGCCCAGGTACTTCAGGGCTCTGCTGAGGTTGTCGGCGGAGAGGTTCGAGTGCTTTGGACAGGACAACTTGATATGTTTCACTTCGTGGAACCAGGGCAAAGGTCTTCTCTATGATGTTGATAAGAAGGCTTGGTCATGGATTGCTGGTTGCGCTAGCCAGCTGTGCAATAGTCAGGTCTGCTTTTACAAGCCAAGGTTCGACACATCAATCTACTGATGAGTATGGCAATATGAAATTCATTGTGGATAAGCTTGAGGTCAGATGTTTCTGGGGTTCAATATTGAGATGCCTATTCAATGTCCTATTATCATGGTTGTCAGATGCATCAAGTGCAGAGATGAATAGTGCTTCTTCGTTGAGACACTACCGGTAGCAGACTTGAACTACCAATTTGCAAATCATGTCACTGAAGATTCTTTACTACAGCAGCTGCCATCTGGCACTTCTGGATTACAACATGCAGAATGTCGCCGTTTTTCCACAAATGGAGGTCCACTTGTTCCATTCCATTTTGTTAGCAATGAGTTTCTTGTAAATGATTCCAGGCCTGAAATGAAAAAAAAAGACATGCAGTTCATTGTTAGTACAATCTCAGTGGGTACTGTGGACTTAGCTTAATATAGAGTTCAATTGGATCTGAGATTGCATTCTCCACTCAATTTATTTATGCACTGTTTCTTATGATATCTGAATAACATCAAATTGCATCTGTTTTCTGTGTTGTCCAAGAAGCTCATTTATCCTGTGTTGTGACATTACATTTGTACCCTAATTCTTCTAGGATGAATTGATTCATGTAGCTTTTAGCCTTTTACCAGCACCTACTTTCTTATAGTTATGCACATCTAGTTTCTTATTGTTTATGCACCTTTTTGGTGGCATTGCATGGTTAGGCTTGGCAGTTTATAATTATTTGAGATTTGAGATTTGCACAGACAGCGTAGTATTTCTATTGTGTATCGATGATCCCTTTACTGGATTCATCTTATTTTGTATGGGTTACTGGTAACTTAGGTCATCCTGAAGGACGAATGAAAGCTAGAGATTCACATGTTTGGGTTGGCGTTGGATGTGATGTACCATGTCTGAAACTCTAAATCATGCTGAGATTTCAGCATTGTTTCAGTGAGCATTCTTAGACAGTATAGTTAATTAGTTATGCCTTTCACACAACCAATGTATGAAACTCAAGTGACAGGTTTTGTGCATCATCCAACCTGAGAACAATCACGATGTAATGGGAGCAACAAATGGACACCTCAAAAGTAAATACTCAACTGATGTCCGATGTATAGAAGCTGCAGCTTCCAGGTTCAGTATGTTTACCTAACTCCCAAGCACAGAGCACAATCCCCATTTATGCAATAGTGACTGAAGTTGCCTTTGTAAATTGCAGAATTGGGAGTTCTGGACTGTTAGAATGTAATAATAACAGCCCATATTGGGTGTACGGCCCATTGGCCTTGTACATTGTAACCCTAGCCTATTAGGCTATATAATGAAGGTCACCCCTCCTGATTAGGGTGTGCGGTGTTACTCTTGCTTGTCATAAAGCCAGATGGGTCGTTCGTGGGTTCTCGCGGCGGTACGTCATCGACTACGACGAGACGTTCAGCCCGGTTGTCAAACCGGCCACCATCCGGGTCGTCCTCAGCATCGCCGCCTCTCGCTCTGGCGATACATCACCGGACGTGAAAACGCTTTCTTCACGGCCATCCGAACGAACGATCGCTTGCGGCTGACCACCCGGCCGTTGACCCGGCGGCTCCACCACCTCTCTCTGCAAAAGTCCTTATACGGCCTCAGATGAGGCGTGGCACCGCCGGTTCTCCGGCCGTCCAGCGGTCCGGCCATGTGCCGACCTCGATACATCTCTTTGTTTACAAAGCGGGTGCCGACATCGCCGCTACTTAACGCTTCGTCGACGACATCATTCGAGCGAGCCTCGTCGACCCGCTTCTTCGTCGCATCACCGAAGCTCCTTCACTCCGAAGTTCGCCATGACAGATCTCGGGATCTTCATCACTTCCTCGGGATCTCACATCACTCAGCGTTCAGGGGCTTGTGACCTCTTCACTCTCGGCGCCAAGATGCAGCTGTGGACTGCTCCAAGACGCCAAGCATGGGTGAGTGTCATTCTCTGGCGACTCTGTTGACACTCATGCCAAGCTCTGCTCGCTACGGACGGCGCTCCCAGTAGCGGATGCCACTCAAGATCGCAGCAGCGCCAGCACTGCCGGTGCGCGTGCGCTCTACAAGATCTCACGTGACTCGTCCGGACCTCGCCTATGCGATTCAAAAGAAGTTTGCCTCTTCATGCACGACCCGCGAGAACCTCATCTTGCGATGCTCAAGCGTGTCCTGCGGTATGTCAAAGGCACCCTGTCCACCGGGCTTCACATCGGCCTGGCGGCAAAGATCACCATTTTGACCGCCTACTCCGATCTTGATTGGGCTGGTTGTCCGACTCTCGGCGCTCCACTTTAGGCTCAGTATCTTCCTCGGCGACAACTTAGTCTCTTGGTCCTCCAAAAGCATGCAGACTCACGGTCTCTCGCTCGAAAGTCGCGGAGGCCGAGTATCGTCGGTATTGCGCGCGCTGCCAGGTTGAGACTTGTTGGCTTCGTCGATTTCAGAGCTCCACGCACCCATCTCTTGGCGACGATCGCTCATCGCGACAATGTCAATCTTTGTCTACATGACCGCCAATCCGATTCATCATCGCCGCACGAAGCATATTGAGATAGATATTCACTTCGTCCGTGAGAAGGTTGCTTTGGGACAGAGTTGGTGCTCCATGTTCCATCGTCTCATCGATTCATGGACATTATGACCAAAGGGTTACTGTCAGATAGTTGTTCATCGATTTTTAGGTCCAGTCTTTGTGTTCGTGACACTCCCGCTTAGACTGAGGGAGGGTGTTAGAATGTAATAATAACAGCCCATATTGGGTGTACGGCCCATTGGCCTTGTACATTGTAACCCTAGCCTATTAGGCTATATAATGAAGGTCACCTCCCCTGATTAGGGTGTGCGGTGTTACTCTACATGGACAGATACAATGCAATACAGATTCTTAAAGAAGAAACAGAACAAATTTTATCAGTGCTTAGCCTTGAGGATGACATAAAAAAAGTACAATAAGACTAAAACTGGATGTAGTGTCAACTGGGAAATGTAATTGTTTTGGCATGAATTTGATCAATCCTCTATATGGTTGCTAAGTGTTTGGCTAATGTGTTGAGTGAGATGCTGAACCAATACATCTGACTATACTAACTGATGTGGATGTGCTGGAGGTTGAATCTTGGACATGATTTGCAGTCCTTGCTTCATGAGACAAGGTAGTAGCTGCTATACAGTAGACTGAACTCAAGCTTCTTGTCATAAGAAATCTTACAGGTCATCTGTTCAGTTCCTGTGTTACAGAGATAGAGATGAAAAAAAATATTGTATTAAACATATCTTACAGGTTATGTGTTCAGTTCCTGTGTTATGCTACGAAGATAGAGATGGAAAATATATTGTAGTAAATGCCTTATTGCATAAGATAGATGAAGTTATGCAAATGAATCAATGAAGCATCTGCTAAAATCTGAAACTACAACAAATATGCTTTAGAAGACACATAAGATTGGATATTGGTGCTATTGTTCAAATCATGTTATTCTATTTGGTAATCCCTTATTTGCAGCTCACTCCTGTGAATTTGGTTATAATATTCCTTTGCTGGGAAAAATTGAAAACTGTTTGTTGGCAGCACTATCTGCAGTGGGCCTCATAACAAGAGCTGTGGTTTATATTAACATACCAGGGTTACATTGTTTGAGTAAACATGAATTGGATTGAGGAAAGATGGAGCATCCTCCAACCAAATAGCATGCCGCTGTGGAAATTTTTTGAAAGGCATGCAATGGCAAAGAGTACTGGGAAGTTTCTGACAGTAGCGAGGCTGATGATTATCTTATGGAGTTGGTATACAACTATGATAAAGAAAATGAGCTTGAGGGTTGATAATGCTAAAGCTATGACAGACCACAATAATTGCAGAAATGGAGCAATTCATTTTTTTCGCCCAAAGTTTACTTTAGATAAATAATTTTCAAGGTCAGAAGTCATACTTCTTGTTAAAGGATTATACTTGGTTATCTCATGTTTCATGTCTACTGGTTGATGTGTCCAAAACCTATGTTACCTATACTGTCAAATTTGTGAAACTGCATATTGTTATAAGCGAATCTGTGCTGATAGAATTAGTCCTCTGCTAAATGCTCTCTCTCTCTTCTGTTTAGTTATCCACCGTTTCTATGAATCTGTGCTGATAGAATTAGTCCTCTGCTAAATGCTCTCTCTCTCTTCTGTTTAGTTATCCACCGTTTCTATGATTCTTCTTTCCACTGATGACCTGACTAATGACTGTTTGTTCTTGTCACCGTCATCACAGTGTAGTTGAAATTACCTTTCTGACTATGAAGTGTAGTTGAAGTTACCTTCCTGATTGGAAGACAAGACTTGCAGCTAATTTTTCTTTGTTTCCATTTGTGAAGCTGTAGCTGGTGGTGAGAAGAGCTCTCATGTTACTGATATTTTAACTGCTCTAAAAGAGTTTCAACCTGTGATATACTTAACCTATATGCCTTGAAGAATTTTGGAGACCAAGCAAACAAGCACAGATCCAAGATGTTCAACACCAGGTAAGCATTATTTACACAAAAAGGTGCAATATTTACACAGCTCACAGGTCACATCACAAGCTACAAAGAATTTTCAGCAACTAAGAAATAAATTGCATGCTAAGGCTGCAGTATCTAACATCAACCCAATACACACAGGCTGACAAACATTTATTATTAAGCATTTCCCTTAAACATATAGCTAATATAGACATGCGTAGCAGTTCTCCACACCATCACTACATATGCTTGTGGTCGTATCTACCTGCTGGACATAGCTGTTGCAACCTAGATCGTTGCACAAGGTTGAAGGTGCCTCATACAATGATATCTTCATCCTGTACTCACTCTATAAGCAGGCAGTACAAGTAGCACTGCATATTTTTCTTCTCTGATGCGCTATTGCCCTACTCAAAACTTGCATGAAGTGCCCAGGCGCTGCTTCATCCTTTGACCTGCTGCTGCCCTTGCGCTCTCGTGTAGTGCCTCGTTCAGCAGTTCCTGGAATTTTTCAAGGACTACATCCCACTCATCTGCACTCATATCCGACAGCCTGACAAAACACATACTTGATGGAAGCTGTTCATCAGCGCTCCTGTTCATGGCACTTTTTGAAGCATTGCCATTCTGACCTATAGGTTTGCTAGGATTGTTGGGTGTATTCCATCCAGCATAGAAGACTCGATCATACTCGTTTTGATCTTCATGGCCATCACTGCCCTCATCAACGCTCTCGACGAGCTTAGACAAAGGGCTTCTGAAACTGGACCCCTTGGAACCCGAGCCATTGAACCTTGGTGATCGCATTACATCATTGTATTCTCCTAACACATCCATGGAAAATTGGAAATCAGTATCTTCTCCATGTTCAGCTGTGGCAGAGAAGGGCCCCACTCTGCTACTCTCTTCCTGGCCTCCATACACACAACCTCCAGCTTGGGGACATGGCTTCCTCCTCTTCTTGGTGCGCGCGCCGTGCGGGGTGGACGACGCCGTCAGGGAGAGGGGAAGGCGCGCTCTTGTTGCTATCATCGGATCACGACGCCTGCAAACCAACCACCAAGAGGAGGGAAACAAAAAGGGCAAGAATTTGCACTGAATCCCTCATCCAAACACCTAAAATTCACGACTTTCCTAGGAATTCAACAGTCCGGAACATGAAAAAAGGCAAGAATTCAACCGATGCGAAGGAGAGACGGCAAGTCAAATCTCGGCGCTCACCATGCGGGGGTAAGGTGCCGGTGGAGAACGGGGTGTGGGGGGTAGCCGCAGGGACCGGCCGTGGTGCGGAGATCGACGGCCGCGGCGGCGGCGGAGGGGACGGCGCGGTGCGGCGGCAGGCTAGCGGCGGAGCAGAGCCCGGTCGCTGGCCTCTACTGCAACTCCGCACCCGCTGCCCAAACCCAACGAATTCGGCTGGGCTTCCGCTTAGCCCTCGTTTAGTTGCCCGATTCTGGACAACCAAAATCACTGTAGCCCGATTTTGGACAACCAAAATCACTGTAGCACACGGTAGCCCACTGTAATGCTTCGTTTGCATTTGTGAATTATTGTTCAATCGTTGACTAATTAGGCTTAAAATGTTTGTCTCGCAAAGTACGACCAAACTATATAATTAATTTTTGATTTTGTCAATATTTAGTATTCCATACATGGACCGTAAGTTTAATGTGACGAGAAATCTTCTTTTTACATAGTGTGAAAGTTTAAATTTTGGTGGGAACTAATCGCCCCCTTAGTTTTCTACCTCGCCCAGCAAAGCTCATTTTTTTTCACTTGTCACAAAGCCCCCCTCCACCTCACGCGATTCGAACGCAGCTGCACCCCGGGCTGGCCGGCCACCGTTCGGAGCCAATCGGAGGCCCTCTGGGCCTCTGGGGGCGAGCGGACCTGAGACGAGAAACCTACGAGGGCCTATCCGAAAAGTGACAAATCTGGACGGGCACCATGATGGCGGGTGGGCCGCGCTCGCGCTCGCGCTCGCGCACCGCGCGGGCACACGGGATTGGCGAGCCGTGCCCGGGACGCGCCCCGTCCGTCGGTATCCGGACGGACGGCCCTGATCAGGGCGAAGGGTTTCCGCGGACTGCGAGCGCCTGGTGGACGCCTGGACGGCCAGGACGAGGGGAAACCCCAGGACCGCGCGGAAAGGTCTGGAAGGGCGGCGCCCGCCGTCGGATGGCGGATAGGGGAGGCAGCTGGGCCGTCGGAATCGCGAGGACGCCCGGCCCTCTGGTCGACCGCGATCTGGATAAGAGCGATTGGGCCGGCGTGACTGGATGACGTGGGGACCGCCGCCTGGGCCCTGCCTGAGCCCGTCCCCATATTGATATGCATATGCGGCTCTGTTTGCTGTTTACGAGACGTTTTTTTTCTCTTTTTTTTCGTCACAGAGATGGCACGTTCGTTTCGGAGGAAGAGAGCTTGTGCGACTTCTCCTCGTGCCCCATGCACGCACACGTGTAGGCGTAGGCGTACATGCATTTTGCCTGCAAGGTGTGGAATGGATCAAGTTTGTCCCAGTTCGGAAATCGAGAATGGTGAAACAGATGATCTTCGCGATCTGTGTCTGAGGCTTACCTGGTCGGTAAGCTTTCTTGTATGTTTTACAAAACTTTAATACAGTAAGGTATTATCGCAAACGATAATTATACAATTAAGACGTTCGGATGGATGCACGCCTCCTACCGTTTACTCCCGCATGCGCCGCTCGCTCAGCGGCCCTATCCGCTCGTCCCGTCCGCGTGCCACGATGCTCGCTGCGTCGTTTTCTCCCTGCGTTGTCGTGCTGATATGCCCACCCACTCCGTCTCACCGCCGCCGGTCCTCCGTCGCGCCGCACGCCCATCCCCTACGGCCTACTCCGAGCCTCATTCCTCATCGGGCCCAGTTTGCCTCGCCCGCCTCCACCGCGCTACCTCCTCGCCACGGCTGGCCCGCTCGTCGTGATCGCCTCCACCGAGCCAGCGAGCCGCCACGACGGATGCTCCAGCAAGCAGGCGAGGGGGACGAGATTTGTGTGACACCGCACCTGCCAGCGAGTTGCCCGTGTCGCTGCCGCATAGCGAGGTCCGTGCGCCACGTTCGACCTTCGCGTCGGCGTGCCTCCATTCGTCCAAGTAAAGCCAATGTTGCAAGAGTATGTTTTAATTGTTTCACATGTTTCAACTAGATATTGCAAGTGTTTCATCTTGATGTTGCAAAAGTAGATCGGAATGTTGCACATATTGCAGTGGCTATACATGCATCTCGTTTTCCAGACATATGTTTGCAAGTGTTTCATCTGGATGTTGCATATATTTTCACACATATGAAGTGTTTTCAGGTGTTTTTTGCAAGTGTTTCATACACATGTTTCGAGTGTTTCACCTATTTCGTATGTATGTTGCAAGTGTTTCGCCTGGATGTTTTAAAAGCAGACCCGGTGTTGCAGCTAGTGTTTCATATACGTGTTTTATGTGTTTTATCTGCCTTCAGATGTATATTGCAAGTGTTGTATCCGGATGTTTCAAAAGTAGATCTGGTGTTGCATCTCTGTCTTCGTTTTTCTGCTGCCTCACCTTTGCATCGGTATCTCCTCCTCCTCCCAGCGTCGGCTGGGCATCTGCCGCCCCACCCCCTCTTCTGGATGCTGGCGTAGCTACATGTTGTAGTCACCTGTTGCAGCTACTGGCCGCGTGCATGCGCGTGAGAAGCAGAGGGGGCGCGAGCAGGGACTCCCCACATGCAGTCGGGCGGGTCAAGCGGCGCGGGCCCTATGTCGGCAAGCGCGGGATGCAAGTGCGTGGAGGGAGACAGTGTGCAAAGCAGGCGTCCGAACACGAGCGTCCGTCCAGACGTCGAGACGCTATCACTGCCGTATTGCAAAAGAAAGAAAAAGAAAATTCAGATGGCTACTTTTAAAGTTAACACATGAATCCTGTGGGGATGGATTAAATCTGTATCCTATTTTACAATTCCATGATTGCCGTCTGCAGCGACGTCCGTTAGTCTTTGTGCAGAAATTGAAAGATCAATAGATGAAGACACTCGTAAGGTCTCAGCCTTTTTCATTCTTTGATGGTGATGAATGAAGGGCGTAAATGTCTCAGTCTAAATATGATTCCGACAGGCATGTTCTAACTTCTAACAAGCAATCATTAGGACAAGTGATATTATTGGTGGTGCATACTTTATGGTATATCTAACCACTACAGGACATTATTTGTGCCTTTATGATATGTTGACCGGATGAATTATCCCTTTTTTACCTAAATAAACATGTAACAATATCGACACAGCTTTATCCCATCTCCAAACGTATTTTAGGCCAAATGTAAAAGAAAAAGATGTCTCTAATCGATCACTCATCTAGCCCACATGGTGCAACCTAGCGTAGCGTTGTGTCCCCAGGTCAACTTCTTGATTTGAGAGAAGGGAAAAATAGATTCACACTGTCTTTCTCCCTACACTCGAAGTATGACTCGACTCACGTTAGACCGTGACCAAGCTAGAGCAAATTGAAGGTGAGGTACGTGAATTAAATCTAGCTCAATTAGTTAGGTTTCTTGTAATGGAACCTATCCACTAAGGTTTAAGTCCACCCGGGTTTAAGTTCTCGACTTGGCACGGGTGATCATATTTTTCTGAATTTATTCCAGGATTTAACAGCGTTGTGCTTTCAGTGGTAGGTGACGTTCTCGTCGACAGCGAGGCGCCTGTGGTGACTTCGTCAATCTCGAGATGTGCTGGCATGGTCTTTCGGAGATGCTCATAGAGGTAGGGTTTACGTACGTGTATTCATAGGGGTGAGTGTGCGTACGTATTAAGCGTCTGCGTCTATACTTGTGTAATTCGCAAAAAAAAAATTGAAGGTGGGGTGCAATTGCCTTGCAGATGCATACACTTGTGTCATATATAGGATGTATATACGGTGATTTTTTTTGTTAAACTAACTTATTTTTTGATTTTTTTTTGGTGGGTGGGGCAAGGGGGGGGCTTTGCATTTGCGCCCCCTAATGACACTAGAGGTTCGCCGCTAATGTTAGAGGAACCAGTTACGCCCTTAAATGCTAGCATAGAACTTGATTCATTTTTTTAATGTGTTGCTTTGTTCCATATTTTGTACTACCCCTTCCGCAAAAGAATGCAATTCTAGCACGGTATCACATTATACTAACTTAAGTTTGACCAATTATAAATAAAAAACATCTATGTTTATGATACCAAATAAATACCATCAGATTAATTACAAAATGTATTTTCATAATAATTTAATTTAAAGACATAACTGTTAATATTATTCATTAAAAACTTGATCAAACGTAAACCGCTTTTTTAGCACGCAACCCATAGTTATCTTCTTTTCAGGACGGAGGTAGTAGTAAAAGACATGGTCTCCATTATAAATGACATAAGTGGTATGTTGGAATCAACTAAGAAGCATCCGGCAATCCAAATAATGAGGGAAAGGGAGGTGTTGTTTATGAAAAATACGGGAGCCAAATTGAGGGTTCGGTTGAAGTTTCTATAAGCCGTCATAGTAGAGGTCGTGAAAACAACATTGTACCTATATGTAGTTACCCTGTATAGGTAAGGGGTATTGCCTTGGGAACTTTTATATAAAATCCTACCTTTAAACTAAAAAAAAGGTGAGGAAACAAATCCTTATTCCTTTCCAAATACTTCTAAATAATCTTCATTTTAACTTCAAAGACTTTTAGTTGTACTGCACTCTTTTTTTTGGTATTTTACTTCCATGATGAAGTATGGATCATTTTAATGCCCCCCTTTTATTTCTTAATATAGAATCCACATAGTAGAGTGGAAATTTATATTCTCAGTTGTGAATCTCCATAGATTTGGTGATTATTTGTATATATTTTCATACCCCTATGGTTCATCTCAGGTGCTATGAAAATAGTCATTGAAAATGTCTCATAGTAAATGTATTATCTACCATTTGACAGAGTCAAAAAAAAAACTTAACTAAGTCTTACATAAAGAAGGAATAGGTATAAATATAACTGGGGAAATACAAAATTTTTAGTGAAAACTAAATATCATCTATGTTTTAAATTAAAAGTTATTTTTGTTTTCTAAACACATAGTTTCTGTTATGCGTTCTAGACATATACATACTATTTATTGTTATATATCTAGAAAAGGAAAATATATAATTTGAACAGAGGGGTATTTTAGGTTTATGTTACTTTGGGTTAATTTTACCTAACCTTTTTTCAAATTAAAAATTGAGAAGGGAAAACACGAGCTTCTACTATACACGAATTGTTTGGCTACGCGCAATCCCAGGGAGGCTGCTAGAGTTCGCTGTTCGGATGGGGGCACCGCGTCGGCCGGACAGCGCACACGGAAGGATTTGGGGCCAGAAATTAATTTCGGGCAGGGAAGGACCCAAGTAAGGACCCACTTTATCTACAGCTCACACATGACTTTCAACTAATTAAAAAAGTCATAATTGCTAAATGAAACATCCAAATTAAATTCTGATTACACCATCAGGTTTCTTATAATAAATCCTTTAGAACAAGATCACACATAAATATATTTAGATAAAATTTTATTAACGAACATTTATCTTACGAAGATAGAACATTTTCTTTTATTGAGCAGAGACGATGTTCTAAATTCAGAACATCGCATATATATGACGTGAACATCACCAAATACACCATAGAACATCACCAACTACGTTATAGAACATCACATGTATATTATGTGAATATCACTAAATACATCATATAACATCACACGTATACTAAGTGAACATCACAAAAAACATTATAGAACATCACATGGATATTTTTTATTCTAAAATATACTATAGAACATCATATGTATACTAAGTGAACATCACTGAATACACCATATAACATCACTAAATACATTATAGAACATCGCATATATATTACGTGAACATCACTAAAAATATCATAGAATATCATATGTATACTAAGTGAACTTCACAAAAAACGTCATAGAATATTTCATATATACTACATGAACATCACATGTATATTATGTGAACAAGAGAAAAACATCATATAAATACATGACATAACACTAAAACATTAAATGTATACTATATGAACATCACATATATAGAAAGATAAAAAAGTAAAAAATAAAATTATTAAAGCAACTAATTAGAGTAAAACAACAAAGACGAAAAAATACACATACAAACATAATTAACAAATGATAAAAAATAATAAGACAAGGGCAGGAAAAAAAAGAAAACAAAAAAAGAAATAAAAAGAAACATAAAAAATAAAAAAATAAAAATCACATAAAACAAAAAAAGAAATATAAATAAAAAATGAAGCACGAAAAAAGAAAAAGAAAAATAGAAAAAATAGAAAAGAAAAGAAATAGAAAAAGAAAAGAAAAAAGAAGAATAAGGGAAAAAAGAAAACTAACGTAAAAATCACAAAAAACATAAAAAAGAAATATAAATAAAAAATTAAGCACAAAAAAGAAAAAGAGAAATAGAAAAGAAAAGAAAAAGAAAATAAATAAGAAGAATAAGGAAAAAATAAAACTAGCGTAAAAATCACATAAAACAAAAAAATAAATATAAATAAAAAATGAATCACGAAAAAGGAAAAAGAGAAATAGAAAAGAAAAGAAAAAGAAAACGTACGTATACGCTCGGGGAAATCAAAACTGTTACGCGTGCGTGTGGGCCGGGCGGCTCCCGTCCGCAGCCATCGCGCGCGGGAAAAGCATCGCGCGGGAAAAATCGGCGGAAGGTTCCCGTCCAAGCGTCGGACGGGAAGAATTCCGGCAATCCACGAAGCTGGCCGCAGAGAACGCGGGAGACGGGCGGTGCGGAAAGAGGCGGGGGACGCCGTCGCGTCGCAGTGGAGCGAGGC